CCCCCGACTTGACCTTATCTCTGGGGACCTTGGCAACTTGGGTTTTGTAACTGCTTGCTGGGGAATTCTAGGAGTTGAATCCACACAACTTAAAATTGGTTGAGAAAGGCTCTGTTGACACAATACCCTACTTTACTGTAAGCCACAAAAGAGCCTTCTATGTAGGTGACAGCCAGGTATACAATTACAGCTTTCATCCCCTATTCACATGATGGCAAACCTATGCCATGTGTGTCAGAGGTGGCACGCAGAGTCCTCTTTGCTGGCACGGGTGCCGTTGCCCCAGCTCAGCTCTCCATGGCATTTCTTTCGTGAGTTTCTATTTCCCTGCAAACGACGAAACAGAAGCTCACGAAAGAACTTACCTCTTGCCGTGCTGGTGGTATTGGGATGCCTCGCCTCCCCTCTCCAGCCAGCCGGTCTTTGGGTCTCCGCTGCGCATGCACGCATGTCTGCACATGCATGCGCACACATGTTCACTCACGCACAGGCACCTTTCAGTATGGGCATGCGTGCGCATGCAGTTTGGGCACTCGGTGTCTAAAAGGTTTGCTATCACTGCCCTATTCCTATGATTGCAAATTCCACTTTTTGTGTAGGCTCATGTCCAGTCCACAGACCGCACAGTGCATTCTCAGCTGGGCAGGTACTCACTTGAAGTAGTAAGCAGCCACAGGCAACTCTGAGGCTGGCTCATTGGCCACTGACCACATCACAACGGAGGGTCGGTTTTTGTCCCGCCGGATCAGCTCTTCCATCACAAGAAGGTGGTGTTGCAGGGACTGGTTTCCAAAGTTCAGACTAAACAATGAAGCAAAGAGAGACCAAAGGAAAATAAACCCATTCAGGAGGGGGAAATTGACTACCTGGGTAAGGCCTGGAATTGCTATCATGAGGAACGCTCCCTTTGAAAGCAAACCTGGATATAACAGCACTTCCAAGTTTCGAACAGGAATTGTAATAAGGGGATGGACAAGCCAATGAATTGTAAATCTGGTTTTCTGAATATTTCCTAAATTTCCCATTCTTTAATTAAAAACTTCTAAAATCCTTATCGAGTCAGGCTTATCAGGACTAAGAGAAAGTTTGCAATATTTCAGCTTTTATAGAAAGCCTTTGCATTCCAAATATCTCTACTTTCTCCAGTGGTCCCCATTCACTTCTTCATTCTTTCTTGAAACAAATACAAGAGGCAAGCCATCTTAAGATAGATCACAGTCATGAGAGAAGAGAATAATCATAACTCAGGGTTGAACTGTAGAATTCTTGGCGCTCTCTGAGCTTGGTGATTTTCTTGTCGAGGTTTCATTACCAAACTAGCTATGTGTAGCACTGATGATGTTACCTAGTTTGATAATGAAACGTCGGCAAGAAAACCACCAAGTTCAAGAGTACCGAGGACCTCAAAGACCACAGTCCCACCAGCTGAAACCCAATGCCTAAAACCCACAGTGAGACATCTGCAGTCCTCCAGTTCTCATCATTCTTGATCTCTAGCCATATTGGGCCACAAATTCCCCATCCTTGGCAACCTCTGTAGACTATTCACTTCTTAGGTTTCTGCCTCCTATTCACGGGAACTCTGGTATATGGTTGTCCCTGGCCCTGCACCCATAGGTATTTTCCTATTAGACTATCCAACCTGCTGTGGAGCATTCATTTAAAAAAAAGGTTATGCTCAGCCAGCTACAAAAAGAGCTGCCCATTTCTGCCTTAGTATATTATGTGATAGAAGGCACAAGACATGGGCAGAGCAACTGTACCTCACCTGTCATGCATGCCCACTCCTGGGCTCTCATCAATCACGACGATGCCATAAGCGTCACAGAGCTCCATGATCTCCTCAGCATACGGATAATGGCTGGTGCGAAAGGAATTGGCTCCTAGCCAGCGCAGAAGGTTGAAATCCTTCATGATCAGAGGCCAGTCTAGGCCCTTGCCACGGATCTGCAACAGAACAGAACATTGTTAGCAATGGCTTTGCAGTCCTCATTGTTACAGCTTAACATGGAAGACATGAAATATGCACCCAGTATCTAAAAATGAGAAGAAGAGCAATATATTTCCATATAGTCTAGATTTACCATATTTTTGGAGTATAAGACGCACGAGGGTATAAAACACACCAAGATTTTGAAGAAGCAAATTTTTTAAAAAAGTTTCTGCACTCCGCAGACCTCCCAAAAACATTTTTTGTCAAAAAAAAAGGGTATGAATAGCCTTTAGGAGGCTTCTAGAGTGCTCCTGGGGGCTGGAGGCCCCCCAAAATGAGCAAAAGACCGGACCTGTTTTTTGTCAAAAAGAATGGCATGCAGAGGCTTTAGGAGGCTTATAGAGTGCACCTGGGGGATGGGGGGGGGGGAAACGAGCAAACAAACCGCCTGTTTTTCGCTCATTTTTGCCCTCCCCAGCCTCCAAGAGCACTCTGGAAGCCTCCTAAAGACTACGCACGGCCATTTTTGCAAAAGGGGGGGGGGTTCAGGAGGCCAAAAATGTTGTATTCAGTGTATAAGATGCACCCAGATTTTCACCCTCTTTTTTGAGGGAAAAAGGTCTGTTGTATACTCTGAAAAATATGGTAATAAGTAGTTTAATGACTGAATTCATTCTACTCTGATATTTTTTCTTTTGCCTAATTTATTTTTTCTCTCCTTCAGTTTAATTTAATTTTTATAATGTGTGATTGCATTTTACTATACAATCACTAGTCTTTATTATTCCACTAATGTATATTTTAAAATGAAATACACACAAATAGACCCACACTGTTTCAAAGGCGTGTTGGCATTTTAGCATGAACCACAGTTAGGTCCCAGATAATGAACTGAGCCAAGACTTTAACATGGTTTATTAACTCCTCTTCTTTGGGGATAGCAAATGTTATACAAGCTGACATTTTGTTTTCCAATTAACATTTTAATTTTATTCTTTTTAGAGATCAGTGACAACGAAACAGCTCTTAAGGCTTTGGTTGAGGTCAGAGCCCCAGGGGGTGCAGAGCGCAGGGGCCTCTGCAGAATAAGTGGGGGAGAAAGACAGATGGCAAAAAGCCAAGATGGCAATTGCAATCATGGAATCAAAGTTCCAATCCTGTTTATGTGCATCATATGCCAATGAATTTAAAAGACAACCGTGGCTTTAATTACACTGTCACAGCTGCTGTTATTTTCCCCCTGCGCATACCCTTGGGCTCCAACGCTTGTTTTCAAAACAAGGCCCTATAAGGCACAAAATTACTAGATGAGCAAAGAGCTCACTGCAGGTATGGGTCCATTTTACAGACCCTTCGGTATCCATGTTGTTGTTCTGGAGAAGTCATTGGACTTCTTAACTATCAGAAGCCATTGTTCCAGATTCAGGCAACACGCTGTGTTTTTTGTCTCCTGTAAATCATGGTTGACAATCGGGGATCAAGTGTTCTCTCTTAACTATAATTAGAAATTTGGATTTAAACAATGCAAGCAGGCCTTGACTTATGAGCACAATTGAGACCGGAATTTCCACTGCTAAGCAAAGCAGGTAAGTGAGTCATGCTCAATTTCATGACTTTTTTTTTTGCCACAGTTGCTAAGCAAATCACTACAGTTGCTAAGTGAACACCCACCCACCCTCCCAGTCATTAAGCTAATCTGACTTCCTCCGTTGATTTTGCTTGGCAGAAACTGGCTGGGAAGATCGCAAATGGTGATCACATGACTTCAGGATGCTGCAGTCTTTGAAAATATATGCCGGTTATCAAGCTCCTGAATCATGTGACTGGGGACGCTACCACACCGGTTGTAAGTGTGAGTACCAATCGTAACTGACTTTTTTCAGTGCCATTGTAATTTTGAACAGTCACTAAAGAATACTTGTAAGTTGTAAACTACCTGTACATTAAAACTAATAACAGCATCACTGTGTGTCCATTTCTTAGAGAATTCTGGATAAATTAAGATGGTGACTCAATCTAGTCACTGTGTCTTCTCTATTTTGACCAGCTTTTGAGAAACAAACTCCGTATGGATCTAGCAAAATTATGACTAGAGAAAGACTGGATTGTGCGTTTGCAATTTAGCATATCTAGAGGGAACCATGTGTGATTACCCTGTTTCCGCAAAAATAAGACCTCCCTGGATAATAAGCCCAATCGGGTTTCTGAGCACATGCGCTAAAATAAGCCCTCCCCTGAAAATAAGCCCT